ATGGACCAGTGGTTTGGTCTTATCATCGACTTCTCCTAATTCCTCAACACCGTGGAGCCGTTCGACGAGATTTCTGCCGAGTTGTCCGCAATCAGGTGTCAATTACTTGAAGATCTGCATAATAGAAGGTTGGGACACAATGCGCCCAAAATTTGAATCGGAAATGGAATTTCCGGTGTGGTTAAGGCTTCTGACGGGACCTGAGTGCACTTTTGAGCTTCCTACGGTCTTGTAGAGATAGTAAGATAGAACCATTTTTGACGATTTATCCTTCCAAACGTGCGATTTCAAGGTTCATTTCATCAACACAACACTCTATAAGCCGTTATAGTTTGATGAAACTGTTCCAAATTGTCTTTTATTGGCACTAGATATGCAAAACCTCTCTGGACGTGGATGCACTTCCGCCAGTCACCTCAATTTAGTAGATTGATCGAGGACATTTTCTGCATAAACCTCGGAGAACCTGGGTCGGTTGATGTCCTCTTTATTTTAATGGAACTCGAACGTATCTGAGCAGATGCTTGCATACTTAATACGACACCAGCGATGGTAGTTATTATACTGGACTCTCTCCCATATAAAACAGAGAGGTCATCGATTTGAACAGCAAGATAACGCCTAAATGTCATTCAAGAGTGTCTAACTACGACTGGAAAGATTGGATAAATAAGATAAAAACATACTGCGCCAAAACTCGGAGCACGAAGTTCATCTACGACAATGACAATAATTTCAGGGGAGACGGGTTGCCCGTTAGCCCAGCTGCTGGTGACCCAGCGAGTCCACAGTTGGCGGATAATGGAACGGCCTTCAGTGAAGGTTGGCTGAGAAATAAGCAGACCCAGAACTGACGAATAAGCAGTTGCAGACCAGTAGCGAAATTGCTACCAGGGTGCGGTGGGCTAAGATCTGGCACACTGAAGGCCTTATAAAAAACTGTAAAGCCCGATGACGGCACTGCGACATAGTGACCGCGAACCGCCACTAAATAAGTTTGCTTGTCACCGATGCCTTATGAGCAGGCTTTTAAGCCAACGCCAGAAGAGACAGTCTCGAACAAACGATCCGAGCGGCTGTTGGGGACCCGCCTATACTCAAAATTCCCAGGAAACCTCATGAAATATGTCCGACTACAGTATTATGACTCATGCTACGGCGTCCGCGGAAACCGGCGCGCTCCGCAACCCTTGTCCAGTAATGCGGGCGAAAAGTATGCGAGCTGGACTACTAAATTGGGAACGGGCCCTAGGTATTGGACGCTAGATTGTGCCAACGTACCAGGACCCTGGTATCCAAAGTCTGACCTCGGCCAGCCTTAATCAGTAAGACGTGGATGTCTGCTGCCTGTCTGAAGTTCGGCTTCCTGACTCAGGCTCTCGAGAAATAAAAGCCCCTTGAGTCAACTCAAACTTCACATCAATTATGACTTCCAGCGGTGATTGTGAGAGCTGTTAATTATAGTACGCATATGGCCCGCGGCAGATACGTGCTATAAATACTGCACTACTTTCGCCACCATTACCCTTATCTGCGACTGTCCCTGAGGAGGGGTTCGAGTGAGAATCCGAAACGCCAGACCAATACATTTCTTCTTCCAGTGATCGCATCTTCGTCTTCTGAACTGCTTCATGGAACTCGCCTGTTCGCGTCTATCAGTATGTTCTCGTTCATACATGCTTCGAAGTTCACCTATCATCCGCGCCAAGTGTCATGCCCTAGACGCCTCGAAATTCGCAAAAATCCGGCAAACCAGCATTACAGATAGCCTGACCAGAGAAATTCGGTCCTGTTTTACGACCGGATCCGATGGAGAAGGCAGTAACCAGTGGTCGTCACTGAAAACGCCAGTCTATGGGGCAGCTGAGAAAATGCCTGGATATACCCAACGACGCCGCAGTGACTGGATCAGCGGAAAAACTCTGCAGCTGTCTGCTCAGACGGCTCGGCACAGGTAACGTAATGGAGATTCTTCCAGCCAACTTCGAAAGATGACGGGATGATCTGCCAGGGATGATCTGAGGCAATATTAGGCGGAAATAGCGACCTCCGTGGAACAGGCCTCGAACGTTGGTGGCACTCAAGTCTCCACTAACTTATCTGCCAAGTTAGTGGTAACCCCTATGCAGTGAGTGACTCTGTTCGCGGCGTGAATGGCGACTTTCTTGCTGACAACGCGGCCAAAGTTGAGCGCTGGTGAGCACTTCGAGCACCATCTCAATCTCGATACCCAACCCGCCACGTCCCTGCTCTCCTCTGTAGCGGAGTTTCTTCCCTTTCCAACTTGTGCACTTCCATGCGACTCCCTTCCTGAGGGAGAAGTCGCTGATGCCATACAAAGGCTAAACAGCAACAAGGCACCCAGGGAGGACGGAATACCAGCTGAAATCTACATGTCTGGTACCAACGCTCTGGCTCTCTGAAATGATTGAACAAGCGTGGAGAGACGCGGTTGCCCCTGATGACTAGGGCTCAGGCATCCTTGTACATATCCTCAAGACAAGATGCGAAAACTACCGCGGCATAGGCCTCATGGACGTTGCTGCGAAGATCTTCGCTATAGTCCTTCTCAGTCAATTTCAGACTGTATGCAACTCTAGGACGATGTCCAACCAAGTCGAATTCCGTACTGGACGTGGATTTGCGGACCAAGTATTCAATGAGGTGCATTATCGAATTCCGCTATAGCTACCAGCAACCGACGGCCGTCTGTTTTGTTGACTTTGCCGCCGCGCTCGACTCCATCGTGAGTCCTTGTGGCGGATAGTAGCACTAGATGACGTACCGTCAAACACCATCGCCATGATCAGGTCCTATTATGTCTGCACCGCTACGCGAGTTCTGGTCCACAGCAATCTCTCCCGGATGCTTAGTATTCGATCTGGAGTTCGACAGGGTAGTATCATCTCGCCCATTATGTTCAACTACGCTGTGACTGGATTCTCGGGAGTGCCCTCCTCGAAGGTGACCGTGCTGAGTTTGCACCTGGACACCGACCTACTTCCTTCAAATTTTGGTAATCTGTTGTCTATGGTGTCACAGGTCGCTAAATCGGTTTTATCCATGAACGCTGGGCAAAGTAAAGTGTTTTCAAGCTGCATCCCTGACCAGGAGAAGGCACCTCTGGGGATTTATGGCTGTCAAGTTGAAAAAGTAGACACTTTTAAATACCTCGGGCGACGCTGTTGCCGAGTGGGCAGAGTAAAGACGACATTGTTTCCAAAATTGATGCCACCCATCGGGTTTTCTCAAGCCGAAGCGACATCTTCATCACCACTAAGATTCGGGCGTACCGTGTATCTGTCCAGTCTGTCCTTCTCCATGGTTGAGAATGCTGGGCTGTGCGTGTGGAGGACGAGCGAATACTGGACGTAGTTCGTCACCACTGCTTGAGGACCATCCTTTGAGTGAAGCACACCGACTTCGTTTTAAAAAAGACAGTCCGCACCCGCTGCGACAACATTGCAAGGATAACCCAGACTACCCAAGGACGAATTAAGTGGTTTGGGCATGTTCTTCGTCTTTCACCTCAGGAGCTCAGTGTTACTGTCCTCGATCCGGCACCGTTACCCCGTTGGAGGCGTCGAAGAGGGGGTCGACTCAAAACCTGGCTCGACACAGTCCGTCAAGACATAGAGGTGGTTCTCGGACCTTCAGTATTCGGTCTCCGTCTTTGGCGAAGAGAATGGGTTGAACCGTCCAGATCTGCTGCCGTGGATCGTCCCGCGTGGAGGTACAGTTCGGGACATCATCGACGCCGGCTGGATCAGGCATGATCGCAGTCGTACCAAGTACGTGTAATTTTAGGAAGCACACATGTTCGAAAGTCACTATTATGCCAAACTCGAAATGTGACTAATTTGCAAAGCAAAAAATTGGAGAGTGCACTTTCTGTAAGGCTAAAATCGGATCTGAAGTCCTCGTTAGGGGCTTAATAGAAAACTAGACCAACTTGAAAAGAAGCAAAGTATCTCGGCACCTTGTGGATCCCAACGAAGCCTTCCGTGCGACTTACGAGGTCCAGCCTAACTACCCTAGGCGACTGGGTCAGCGCTTGCTAACAACAGCAGAGGCAACTGCTATCAGGCTACTAAGGTCAGTCCTCTGCACGCAGAAGAACCTCTTGCATGCTCCGCGTCTGTCATGGGCCAGGATCGATTAACTGAATGCAGGTCCCCGCGCCCCCGCCCCCTACCCTCCCCCTTTGTGATACGGCTCAACCTAGCCCTCGCTGCCACTGACTGCCTCCTCTCCCCCCCCCCCTTCCCCACTCTATTCACATACCCCGTTTGTATGAAAGGACTAACAGTAATCGATTGCAATTATCATTCACACGTGCAGTTTGTACCTCGTTCCCATGTAAATGTACAGGCCCGATAGGAATTTATCGAAAGCAGGCGTAAGCTCGTCAAATGCTCTTCGGAATTGCTCCAGGGAAATTTTTGCAACTTTAAAACAGTATCCGTCAGAGTATTTTTTCTCAGGTAAGGTCATTGTGGTTGGAGAAAGTTCTGGACTAGGCCAGCGCGTCACTAAATGTGGACTAACATGGAAGCCTGTTTTATAGGTGCCAGTATTAGTGGGTCTTGATTATGCGATCGCATTCATATGGAAACACCCTAAAGAGATCCAACCGGAGTTTTGTAGCGTTTCAGCACCACTGCTATTTATATTTTAACCCCTAGTGTTCAGTGCAATTAAGTCTTAATGGACGGAACATTCATTTGGCGTAATCTGAAGACGAATGTCGGGGATCAACTGCCGATTAGCATGGAATATAACATGACAGTGTCAGCGAGTTGGCCGTACGAGGGCATGAAGACATATTCTAGACTCGGATTCCAGGCAGTAACTTTCAAGCCACACTTTGCAGAGCAAAATAACTACTGTACTATGCAGTGCTCTGAAACCATGACCCAATAAACTGTGGATGGAGTTATCCGGACAAGGAAATAAGCATTACATGGCAAATGTATTTACAGATCACCAGATAGACGCCTTTACTCATCCTCGAAGTCATCGAGCGCGTTGTTAAACGCCTGTAGCTTCTTTTTAATACGCGAACCGGGAGTCCACGTCACATAGTCCTCCATTGGCCTTGAAAAACGAAAATCAGTAGGTGAGTCAAAGAGCAAACGGCAGTACTCGGTTTGCAGGAGGAAACAGTAACGATAAACTGTGTTTGCTCCAAAATATAGCTTAAAAGTGGTAAGTGAAGTTCCAAACTCTCGTCAGCGGTATTTGATAGAAGTGCTATGTGAAGCCTAAACAGCAGTTATGCAAGTCATGGGCATGGCAAAAGTCAAAATGTATGAATTTGCAGGCGATCTTTAAATGGTTGGTGATATAACCCATTACTCGCATAATGCCAAAGCGGACATTTCCGCACACATCAGCATAACTGAATTCGGACTTAAAGAACACCATGAGATTACTGCCACAAACTATGTTAGATGCCCTGGGTCATGTAATAACGTCCGTCTCGGGCTTCTGTTGCGACAAAAAAGCACGATGACCGAGAGAAAACCAGGACTAAATATTCGGGCCTGAATACACGGTACATCCACAAAGTCTTTGTAAGCCTGCATGTACGCATGACAAATAGTCAGCATCCAGAGCACATTAAAGCAATACTACGGTTAGAAAAGGATGGGAATACCTTGTGACCAAAAAGGCGGGGTCGCGAATTGTATCTGGCCCAACGCGCACATGCCCCTGCTCAATGAAAGTCACCGCAGCCTTTATGGTCTCTGCTAGATGCGACCGGACCATAACAACTGGAAGCCGCCGACGGCAGAAGGAAGAGGCACTGACTTTAGAAGCGAGAGCGAGTGAAGCCTTGGTTGGCAGCAAACCAATGTTGTGTCTTAAAGGATATAAGTTACTCCAAAATTACAGTTTAGTTAGCAGCATGTTCGTAATTTCAGCTCTCCAGGGATCGTCTTCCCCAATATTTTTGAGCTTCTCCGCTATATCCCTGATCTTCTTCGAAAGTTTATTGTAGAGAGTGTAATCTTCTCGTTTTTGAATATAAAACTTTTTCAGTATTTTAAGCTCATGCAAATTGTTGTCAGCCGACCATTTTATAAAGTCAACCTTTTTTAAAAGCTTTTTCTCGTGGTACTTCAACTTTCGGACCATGCCTGAGCGGAGTGGCCCTCCTTAAGCCGCCGCGAAGTACCACCAAAGCAAATGCGTAGCGAGAGCACCACCACCTACACCTACCGGGGAACAATAAAACAAAAAAGCTATGGAGTTGATAATGCGATGGGCGGAACGCATAGATTGTCTAAGATTTTTCTGTGTTATGATAAGAAGTTGAAACTGTTACTTGCTTTCATGGGGTGATCATGTCTGTGACAAATGAACGCTTTTTTAATGACAAAGTAATTGGCAATATGTCACAGCAGCAACCACCGGATATTCCCTCTAGTCTGAAAAACTATGATTAGTGAAGGTGAAGTGCTTGTGTCGAAAAGAATATGAGCGCGAAACTTTTCGGAGAAAATCGTGTGTTCATAAAATCTTTTAAACATTCCCAAAACTTTGGGTATTTTGTTCAAACACGCTCGACTTATCTGATGATACGTTAGTTTGACTTCTTTTGTTATCTGACCGATGAACAACCCATTAAATGAGTTATTTACCGGTCAAATGCCCCTTCGCCAAACGGCGCAAGTGGTATTTGTGGGATATTTTATGTTAACTTTATATGGTCGACATGCCGTTATTCCCCTGCCAGCACCAGCCCCCTCTGGCCCCCTCATGGCCCCGCCTCATGAGGGGGCTATGGCGGGGCCAGAGGGGGCTATGAGAAGGCTGGAGAGGGGGCTATGGCGGGGCAAATCCCCGATGTGGCCCCCTCTGGCCCCCTCATCGACAAAAAAATGCGCAGGGGGACGCCTTATACTTATCGTTTTTTGCCCCCACCCACGGCCATATTAGACTGTCTGACCGTAATACCGATCCATTAACGTCTATTTACTCGCGTTATAATCCTGATCATGATCAGACATGATCATGTCTGAGATGCCTTCCTGGTAGTCGATTCGGCCAAAACCTCTTATAAGTCGTTTAAACCCGATTAGATTAAGCAATAATTTTGAGTGCATGTATTAAATACCCTATTATAACAATTAACAATTGCGCCTCAGAAAATGGGGGAAGGATCATCATATGCGTAAAAAAGAACGTAGAATCCTATAAGAAAGTAACCGATTACAGTTTTTTGCGTTTCCGTCAGTCGACATAGTAGATTTCCGCAATTAAGTTCAGCGACTGGAATTCATTTACCAAATCTCATGAACAAACGCTGAGGAAATGTTGTTCGGCTCAATTTTTTAAATGAAATAAATTTACGCCCTTGAATTCCCTATTTGTTTCGTACAACTCGGAAGAGTTTGCAATTTGTAAAGAAATCACGGTGCCAAGTGCAAGCAAACTTGGCTTTACAAAGTTTTCTTAGGGATCTTTAGTCACATACTCCACTTGTTGCTACAATATATGGCATCATAGGCCATTTCTGAATGTCTCAACATAGTGAGATGTTACAATCGTCTTGGGCACGTTATCAATGTTTCCACTATATGGTTTGTGGAAAAATACTTTCTCACGTCTAACCTTCCTTTGCGCACAAGTATTTTGAAGAAATATCCCTGAAGGCTACTTGTGGACGCGAATGAAAGATGTTCCTACTCTAGAGGACAGAGACCAAACCACACTCGATACAGAAAGTCTGCATCAAGTCCCCGCTCAGTTACCTTTAACTTAGAAGACAGGGATTTAGGCTATCTAGACGAGTCTCGTATGGCAGACCTCCTTAAATTCTCACTGATTTTGTAGCTCGTCTCAGCCCTTTTCGAAATATGTTATGTAGGATCCAGTCTCGGAGTCTTCAGGCTTGGATCGCATATTCAGGATGTGGACTTACGCACGTGCCAATGACATTGGAGAGACAGTCTTCACCAAAAACTGTGAATGTGCACTTGATGGCGTGCGACTTTACAGTTGTGGCGTAAACCGCTTTATACAAGTGCGTAGAAGGTTTTGTAGTGTTCGTCTTCCAAACGTTGCAGTTCTGCATTTTTGAGTGGAATTCCGTTGAGGTGGTCATTACGCGCATCAGATTCTTGTTTGCGACTTACAAGACGCAGTATGACACCCTTTTTTACCTATGCAGATGGAAATCAAACTTTAACCGCACACTTCTTTCACTTAAACGACCGGAGTCGTCTGCCAGACCACTCGTCCGGTCCACAAATCACTTCCTGAAAATCTACTTCGTCGGCAGCACCGGGGATGACTCCAGATTTTATATCGTCCGCAAACATTGCAAAGTGGCGATCTAATTCTCACACAAAATCATTCATAAAGGAGAAGAAAGTGCCGGTCCCAGCCCTTCAACTTGCTGCACTCCGCTCTCTATGAGTGTGCGCTTCGACTGCTGTTGCCATATACAGATAACTTGTGAACGACCGAGCAGGGTATTTTCGATCCATTTTGGAAGTTTGCCTCTGCATGGATGCTCCCTACTCGTCCTGGAGGCTCTGGAGCTGGACAATATTAAGGGTCTTCTTAAACTCAGTAGGGCGGCATGCACAGTGTGTCTTTCATTTATTGTTCATGTCCAACCTTGTTTCGTGAAAAACAAGTTCGGTATGCACGATCTTCCCTTACGAAAACCGTATTGTGCATTGGACAAGAGGCTATGGTTTTCCAAGAAACTCATCAACGGCATTCATGGCCTTCTCCACGGCTTCTTAATAAACTGCTGTCATGCTGACGGACCTTAAGCCGATCAAAATTGCACGATTATTATTTTTGAACTAATGCAATGTGCAGTGTTGTTCAACGCGTGAAAAATCAATTTTCGAACGATTTCCGGTGCAATACGGAAAATAGGTTAACCGATTTTCAGCAAGGTTCGGAGAGCTGTTTTGCTGAAATCTCGTCCGGACCAGAAGATTTGCAATCCTTCAAAATCTAGTCCTTTAAAAGCCGATCTTTTCAGAATGAATATTTTGAATAATTTATGTTTCCATGTTCTGGCAACTAAATGGAATACGATTCGATTTTCTTATTGGAGCAGACCGAAGTAACTGATAAAAGTTTTGGCTCTGTTTGCACTGTCCGATATTTCGAGATCCCTATAATTCCTAATGATAGGGATCGAGTTTATCCTACGTGTGCTCATTCGCAAGTAGCTGTAAAGCGATTGAGGGTTTTTTACGGCTCGGCATCTGTCATCAGAGATGGAGTTAGATAAGAATAGGGGATTGCCCGATTAGCCCGACGATGGGAAACCTTCGCTCTCCGAGAGGCTACTACGTGTGTGCAGATTCGGTTTCTGCATCGGTGCCCCGACACCGACGTTTTACCGAAGTGTGTCTCATACAGGCACCAATAAACACGGATTTGGTGAGACGAACAGTATTTCAACATGGTAGAAGTATGATCCGAATACTTTTCCAAGACTACCACGCTAGGATTCGTAAGTACCGTCAGAGTATCGATTAAGATAAGACCAAGTACCACGACTTTGTGTGCGATTTATGTATAAATCTGCTCCTGCAGAGGGTGTCTGAACGTATCCGCCAACAGAAGGGGATATGTGACACAGCATTGGAAAGCAAATTTAGAAAGCTGCCTAATCGAGCGTCGTCTGAAAACGACAAACCGATGCACAACAACTCGTCAAAGGAGATGACGAGGGATCAAATGCAGGTGTTACAGCATGAGGCTCCATTCAGGACACCTGACGCCAAATCTATTAACGAGAGTACAGTGGTGGAATTAATCCTCAGTCATACGGAAGCAACCGACGACACCATAAACCTTTTCCGACACTAAGTTTTGTCTTTGCTTTTGGTTCACAGACCGCGCGAAGTGCTGTCGAAGGTCGAGCGTACTACATTAAGAGGATTTAAGACCGACAAAGACATCGCCATTGTGCCTGCGGACAATTTGCTATAAACGGTTGTTTTACACAGGACGAGCCACCTTCAGAATCTCAAGAGGAAGACTGTAGGACCGCCAGCGCCATTCGTCTTGCGTAACCAACCCCGTAAAAACATTAACACGAGAAATCAATGCAACACTGTTGGCATTGGAAAACTCGGGTTCAATGTCGCCGGTTGACCGATGCATGGTGAAAGACCAGGACACGGTCTTGGTCCGCTCCAATAGCCTTTCTAATGTGCAAAAAGAGGGCGTCCCCCTCCGGCCCATCGCCTCACTTAAAGATACTCCAATCTACGGTCTGGCAAAATGGCCCTTTCGGCGTCTCAAATTTCTGACCGCAAATTCAGAAACTCCAGTCAGTTCGTCAACGCAATTCATAAAGAAACTTAATGGTGTAAGTCTTTTATTAAACGACTTCATGGTATTGTTTGATATCCCGTCCTCTTTTATTTCTATTCCGACGGACCTGGCAGTCGAGACCATCGAACTATTCCTACGAGACAAATACGATGATACGTAGAATCATCTTGGACACGCCCAAATCTTCCAACCCATAAAGTTCTGTCCCAAGACGTACTTTACGTTTGAAGGAGCAATCAAGGAGCAAAAAAGGCTTGCCAGCGCGTTAGCCGATTTTGGGACTCAGCCGAGGCGGTCTAAAAGCGGTTGGATTCGATGGTTTTCCGATAGCACAGACTGAACTTCTAAGCTTGGCATGTTGAAGATATCTTCGTCATCATCGAACGGGATTTAAAAAACACCTGAAAACTGTCTCCGCGGACATTTAACTTACGATGGAGGAACAGGAAAACAACTAGCTGGCCTACCTTAATGTCCTCGTCTGCCGCAAAGCTTGTAGTGACTTACAAATCAAATTATTCCTGAAAGCGACAAACACGATGCAAGTACTGAGCTATAAAAGCAACTACCCAATCAGTCGCAAACACAGTTGCATAAGGGCGCTGTACCAGCGGGTGGAGACACACTGCAATGAACCAAAAGACAAGGTTGCTGAATTAGAATACATTAGACGGGGACTTAGAGTGAGTGGCTACCCGCGAAATTTCATCAGCCAGTGCCTGCGTGGACGAGGCGAGAGAAAAAACCCAACTAGCCCCAATTTTGGCGGGCTCTCTCGTTTGTGAAGAAGCTATCAGTCGCCTTCTTATGTCCCTCGGAATTGGAGTTGTACATAGATCGGAGGTAACCATAAGGCTCCAGATCATGAGACCGAAAGACCCCCTGTTACGGAAGGAAGCATATGGAGTCGTTTACCGGGTCTGGTGTAGTTGCGGGCAAAGTAAATATGTTGGAGAAACCGAAAGATTACTTCGGACGCGTCTAGCTGAGCGCGCGGCAGCAGTGGGAGGAACGACGCTAACTTCCAAGTCGTACCTCATACGACTGGACCCAACCACACATTCAAGTTTGACAGAGCGAAAATTCTTGCCAGAGACGATAACCGCGTGAGCCGCGAACTGCTCGAGTAATGGCTTTCCGGTCCCTTATCAATAGAAAAGCGCAGCAACCTCCTCCTCCATATTCAGCATTGAGACTTAACCTAGGCAAAGTAATTATCCTCGAGGAGAGCGTGCGGATAACCACTGTCCCGGTGTCAATTTCAGCGAGTCAAATCACCCAATAGTCCACACGGAAGACGAAATCCGGTAGTTACCCACTCAGCCGCGTGTGATGATCCTGGTAGCTGATCGTCTTGACCGGCATGCAGGCGCATAGCAACCACATGGCAACAGCATACTTCAACACCTAGCCCGTAGAAATTTGATGTCTATGGGAGCTGCCAAATGTGATAGACACGTAGTGGCCTGGCAACTGCACCCTATAAATATTGCAACGCCTGGGCAATCCACTGTCCTTATCTGACTCCGTCTCTGATGATGAATTCAAGTTAGAATCAGAAATGTCAGGCTAATAAATCCCTTGCTCCAGCTATCATTTCTACTTCTTTGTGACGCCCCAGTCTATTCGTGACGCCTATGATTCATTTGACAAAAGTTTCCTCGTTGCACATTGGACCTCATTTCCCTTACTGAATACGGCGCAGAATGTAGGCAGTTCTCGCATGAACGTACCACATTATCATTTCGACCGAACTGTGGGCCAGTGAACCATGACGCAAGCAGCTCGCGAATCACGCGGTTGTCACCTCTAATGAATCAAAATTTAACGAGGCTGAAATTCTCGCTAGAAGTGGCAACCGCGTCAGCCGCGAGCTGCTTGCGTCATGGTTCATTGGCCCACAGTCCATCAACAGGTGCAACGAACTTCCCTTTCCTTACTCGGTGCTGGGACTTCACTTAGGCGGAGTAAGTAGCCACGCGAGAAGCGCACAGGTGAACACTTTTCTAACGCCAGGGTCAGTGGGTCAGATGGTCGAGCAATCATCACACCAACATCCAACGCACGTGATAAAATTGCAGCAATTAACGACGCAATGTCGACCATCAAACAAACAGCACACCAAGTGCAACGATCCCTGACGAAAGGAAGGAAGCCGCGGAGGCATGGCGACTGCATCCTTTAAATACTGCAGCCCTTTGTGCATGGACCACCCGTATCTGCTTTTGTCTCTGATGGTGGGTTCGAGCAGGGACCCGAAACGTCAGGCGAACAAAGCTCTTGTCCCAACGATCGTACCTCCTTCTTTACAACTGCCTCCTGGGACTCGTCTCTTCGCTTCTGATGGACTGTTTATGTAATCCCCCTAGTTACTCCAGTAATGTGCACCTATCTTTGCGAACCCTTTAAATAAGTCGTAGACTTCCCTTGATGTCAAAACATTCCAGACGTTTGCGGATGCTAGTAATTCTTTCCAACTGGTCGCAATTAATACATCCGTTGATCAGGAACGAATATTTGTTAGGTTTGATTTTTGTAATGACATCTACACCTTGTTTATGAGAGATAGAGTTAAGGATTCTCTAGAGCTGCTTAAGGATCCATTCATAAGCTCATGGCTGGTTCACCGAAGAATCTCATAAATATTTGAATCAACTTCAAATATGGGGCTTGCGCGGGATAGGCACAAGGGATCTTTGACTATTAGTGACGCAAATCCTTGCAGGATCTTCCTTTCCGGAACCCATATTGGCATTTCCATAGCAGGCGGTGAACTTCCAGGAATTGCATCAGTTCACTCTTTATGATCCTTTCCATAACTTTGCAAAGAATGCATGTCAAGCCTATGGGCCTGTAATTTGTCGTCGCTGCCCTGTTACCTCCTTTGTGTAGCGGAGTAATATGCGCCAGCTTCCAATCGATAGGAAATGTTCCGGTGTCAATGCCTCTAATTCTCTTCGTACAATGCCTTCTGAGAAGAGTAAACCACTGACGCTTGGGGTCAGCAGTTCTTCTGTGGAGGGAGGAAGGAACCTTGCCTCGTTTGTGTAGACCGATTGGAAAAACTGTGAAAAATACGCAGCTTTATCCCTACTATCAGCAATCTCAACGCCATCAGTAGTCCGTATTAAGTGGATTTGATGCCTGTTCCTTGTACTTTGTCGGAGGTAACTGTAGAGTAATCTTGGGTTCTGCGTTGCTTTTTGTAGCAAGTTCTTCTCGAATTCCCGTCGCGTTTTCATGATCAGGTTCCACAGTTTGTTTCTCTGTGTCTTGTATGTGTTTAAATATTCAACTTGCTCAGTGACGCAGTATTTTCTCCACAATTTGTGCTTCCCGTTGATTTCTTTCTTGAATAGAATATAATAGGTTTATTGTAGCGCCCCTGGGCAGTTTGCCCTTTGTCCTTCACGTGTTCTCGTTGGGAACATTACATTTTGTGTGAGGCACGCATTTAATGTTTTGCTCAACAGGCGGTAATCGAATGCCGATTTTGGACCTGACGCTTGGAGGGTATTCCAGTTTGTTCCTGGTGCGTTGAAGTCGCCCATGATCATGATGTTAGGTCGACTGGAAAATTTCTCCAACTGCTCCAATAGTTGAGGGTCGGCGATTCGGTCTGTCCTAGGTGGTCGGTAGACAGTGAGGACATCGAGACACGGGGAACCGGTAGCCTTCATGGTCAAACAGATAGCTTCCGTACTGCACGCAAACTTGGTGGTGTTTTCCGACACTGCCAGGCCTTCATTCACATAAACAACTATACCATCGCCCTGACGATATTCCCTGTCCCTCCGATAAATTTGGTATCCAGGCAAGGCTACTTCGCCATCGCTAGTATTTCCGGACAGCCAGGTCTCGGTTACTGCTAAAACATCTGGAGACAGCTCGACAAGGCAAAGTTTTAGCTCGTCTAGTTTCGATATGAGGCTTTGGGCATTCGTGTTCAAGCACCTGAGTTTTGCACCAGCCGAATTTCCCGTTGCATTTGTTCCCGTTTTGAGCATTACTCTGTTATCTCGAACGCCATGCTCTCTGGGCTGATAGATTCCATTTATATGCGTTGCTTCATTCAGATCAGTGGACGTTACGCGCTTACATGTGTTGCCGCCTTGAGCAGGTGGTTCAACGAAGGTATCTGTTTCAGCTGAGTAGGTGCCGTCATGCTTAGCATTACAGTCTGGTTCCACTGAAACGGCTTATATTTCCGAACTACCTTCCCGTTGAATATAGCCAGATTGTGTTCGCCACCGTTCCATCTTGGTTTTAACTCCAAGACAAGTTCCCGACGTTTCAGCCGTTCCGCTGATGAATAGTCCGGTTGAAAAAAACCTGTCTGTGTGTTTTTCTGAGGTCGGTTTTTTTGAGACGATCAACTTGATTTGCTCTTTGTTCTCCAGCATAATTTTGAGATACTATAAGGGCGTTACGTTCTAAAAGATTAAGAGTCTTGGATTCCGATACACCCAGGTGTTTGATAACTTCAGGCACATTTGTGTCGTGCCCGTCAATACTTAGTTGAGGCTGGTGATCATCGCCAACCACCACAGCTTAGCATTTGTGACAAGAAAGAGAAAGGCGACATGTGCAGCGCCATTGCTTAAAGGCCCGAGGGAGATGGGATCATCGGTAGTAAACTGTATCAGGAGGATGGTGTCGTCCAGCGCAACCTTCACCTTGTCGAAAGCAGCGAGGGCGTCTGTAGGAAGTTTGAACGAACTTTTGAAACGCGAGAGGAGGCTCGTGGGCGACAGAATCATGTCGGAATAGTTCAGGAAAAACGGACGATAGAAATTCAACATGCTTAAAAATCGCTGCAGCTGAAGCTTTGAAGAGAAAGGTAGGAAATTACATATGGTCGTAACCTTTGATGGAAGAGAATGAATGCCAATGGAGTCAATCGGATGCCCGGGAAATTCGAGGGAGGGCAAACCGAAACGCACTTCGACGGGTTGACAACAATGCCAAATTGTTGAAGGCGGTCGAACAACTTTGTAGGATGCATCATTTGTTCTTCAGCGGAGGAGCTGACCACCAAAAGATCGTCAATGCTGGCGAACACAAACGGTAGGTCGCAAAGCACTCCGTCAAAGAACCACTAGAAGGTCTAGGAAGCGTTGTGGAGTCCAGAGGGCCTGCGAAAGAACTCAAAGAAGCCAAAGGGGGTAGTGACGGCTGCCGGGTAATTCGCTGGAAGGCACGAACCTGGTCGACCTTGGAGAACATAGTTTTCCCGAGTAGGGTGCCAACAAAATCCTAAAGATGCGAGACAGGTTAGCTGTCCGGGACTACTATGTTGTTTAAGGTCCTGTAGTCACCGCAGGGAGGCCAGTTAACATTGGCGGCCTTGAGAACCGTGTGGAGGGGTGAGGCTTATGGACTTTCACATTGACGGGTGGCGCCCATCTGAGGCGTGTGTGTGAACTCGTCCTGGGCGATAGCAGGAAGTGCATGCGCGGACAGCGTGATCGAGAAAACACGGGCGGGCCAGTTTTCCAGATGTGGTGAATAACGTCGCGTGGGGAGTAGAAAGGTCGAAATTGGGACGCGTGAAACCAGGGTATTTGATAAGGAGCTGCCAAAAATATTCTCGGGTTCAGGGTCCGGGACGGCGAGTTGATGGCGAGCGTCAGAAGAACTGATACCACGGACGGTGAATTCGGTGGTCTTGTCGTGTAAACGGGGCTAACGGCAGTCCAGCCGACCAGAAGGTTGGAAGCAGCGAGGAAGTATGCACTGAGAATGGCACAGGGGATGTCAGTAACGAAAAAGACCAAGGGAGAGGATTTCGAAGACCGATGTCCAGGGAAAGGGAGCAGGTACCGAAGGTGGCGATTTGAGAAGTGTTGACGACCTGAAGGAATAGATCCGGATTAGGGCACAGACGACTGGCTGACGTGGGGGCCATAACATTCAGGTGCGCACCAGTGTCGACTAAAAAATGCCTGTCACTTCGGGTGTCGCGGACGTAAAATGTGCGACCAGGACTAGAGCTGCCATGGAGGTTTGACCCACTGACCTTCGGGTTGACTTGTTTCACTCGTTTGATCTCTTTGGAGATTAAGAGGCAGGGACTGATGCAACAACGGGCTTTAATACCAAAGGTCGTGTGTTGTTGGAACGAGATGAAGGCATAGACAAGACATGCTGGCAGATGACCTCGACGGGCTCAAGGATAATGAAGTAACTGCATGCTCTTCAAGAGAAGCGATATCACACGTCAGGTCTGAGAGGTGCGACACAGGAGAAATTGAAGAAGTTGAAAGATCGGAAAGAGATGTTTCTGAAAAGCTGAACATCTCTATAAGCCGTTCGGTCACCTAAGTTGTGCGGCCGAAAGAATGCCAGAAGCGGGTGCCAAAATATGCTGCCTGTCACTTCGGGTGTCGCGGACGTAAAATGTGCGACCAGGGCTAGAGCTGCCCTTCCGGTGGAGAGTTATCTATTGTCAACACTCGACTTTAACGTTGATTATGAAGAATAGACATTACCGTTTGTAAGGAGTCAGGTGGGGGGCAGGTGGTATGACCAACAACACAAAGATCTCCAAATCAGAAGTCAGGGAAGACGGACTGGGTTGGCCAAATGTACTCACGTGTAAGATCGTGCAAGAGGCTCAGTAAGCTGTTATCGCAAGCTGTATCTCCAGGCAAGTTTTTTGTCTGTGTCCACCGTTGAAGTTATTAGGCTCCAGCGCGCGTACGCGTCTTCGCTCTGTCTCAAGCTGTGTCCGCCAGCAAATCAGGGAGGCGTAGTGCTCATTGGCTTCGAGCTCCAAACAAGGCCATTGACAAGCCTTGCGCGGTCCCAGCAGCGAGTCGACAGGGAGCATGAGGGGGACAGAAAAGCAGCTAGAGAAGGCGCAAAGAGAAAGGAAGCGATTTCAGTAAAACCACTGATAAATTGTCATATTGACGACTCTTAGTTAAACTGGAGACTTTGGGAATTCGCGGTCACCCAGATAATTTTATCGAGTCACACCTACAATCAGTGACCAATTTCATGAAGTGTTGGTGAAAATTCCGAAATGCGTTTTCGATTAGGGAGGATTACCTTAATGACGTTGTATTGTAAGTTATCACGTGACATAATCCTACAATATTTCGTACCTGCCAAGATGTTGGCTTTTAAATGGACTTCCTTTTGCTCTCATGTAAAAACACAACTCGCCAAAAATGACTGCTCATGTAGCATGCATTTTTGACGGTAATTTTCGATGAGATTATAAATTCAAATATATTTGATGGAAAAGACGCCAAAGCATATGCCTTCTTTTAATGATTTGGTAGCACATCGCGCTGTTTTATATCTTTTACTCGAACAAAATGTGTATTTAGGCTTTAAGGAAGTTCATGTTTATGAGACTTTTTAGGACCGTGTAAGGCATATTCATGTATATTCATGTGCCTGACCGTTTATTAGCGCTTCTCATGAAGTATTCGAAAAGTCCCTATCCATTGCAAAATTTTGTGAACTTTACATGGTACCTTCTCAAAGACATGAGGGAACATATAATTTTTCTTTCGCGGAATGTATACACCTTGTAGACTGAAATAGCTAAACGCTAATGTAACGGCTGCTCTGGCTGAAAATTATTCGAAAATTGGAAAACTTCCTTAAAACTTAGACATCCCTTTCTTTGAGTATAAATATAGAGATAACGTGATGTACGTTATCTTTACACGCACCATGTGCATGAATTGCCTGGGGCAGCCGTGTTTTGTATGACTTTCCAGCGTCCACCGCGATTCGCCGCGTCAGAGGCTCTCGTCGGTTCCATAAAGGTAGTGAAAGGAGGGGACAGCATTTGCTGGCGGACGGCAAAGCTCACATTACTGGTTTTGCGGTGTCGCTGGGAGAGGTCTGCGTTTCAGATTGTCGTTGAGATGATTGATAATGATACGAGAGAAGATCTCGGAAATTTTGAGCAGCGAGATTCCTCTCGGACTATATACACTTAAATAAAAGAAGACGGGAAGGCGATCGCTTTCCCGTCTTCTTCTATGCAATTACCTGGGCCGCGCGTATTCTCTATCATTCGGAATACACTTAAATAAATAAATAAATTTTTATTTAATGCCAGTTTAAAGGCATTGTCAAGGGAAGCGTTTAAACATAAATCCGACCGGCAGTGAAAAAAACTCCTGAGCTAAAGGGATAAAAATATAGTTGATGGTGGTTTTTATGGTTTGAAGGGCTCAGGAGAAAAAACTGCCAGCGGCGGTAGAATATCGACCGTCAAGAAGGTGGGAGGTTGCACGGTATCGGAGATTTTCGGACGTCAAATTCCTTTCATGAAGTTGGGGATAGCCAAAGTAGAGGCGTTGAGGAACAGCTGGTGAGACCGGCCATAGTGTTCAGAGACCACAAACGCCATCGCTACGGTACAGTCGATCAGAGTTTCCAGCACCCGAAATTTGTGGGAGCTTTTCTGAATGCAAAAATCGAGTAATAGTTCTCTTAAATAATGGATAATTTTGCAGAGTTTTCACACTCATGGGTAGTTTATTCCAAATAGCAATTGCATTTACAGAAAAGAACCGACGATATTTAACAGTACGTGCCAGAGGCAGAAATAAAAAGACCTCACGGCGACTGTTACGTCGTGGGTGGATATGATGTCTTAAAGAGGTGAGTGGGTTAAATGTGTGCTTTTCCGCTGGAGAGGTGACGCATTGATCTGATGGTATCTGGGAGGAATGGCGGGACGTCGACGTCGTTGATCGTTTAAATTTGGGGAGTTGGTTGATGGCGGCATCGGAGACCATGGATGGGCGGTTTAGGACACTTTCGAAGTTTTGCGCATAGCGCTTCAGATTCCACGGTTATCCCTCCAGAAGGGTTGTTCTGTCGGAGCTGAGAAGTGGTATCGTTCTTTTAACTGTGGCGTCGCAGACCGCCTTTATTGATGCGACGAAGTTTGTTGTTTCATTATGACCCACATACTCCTGAATTTCCTCATCTTTACGAGCCATCCAGACGTTCTGATTCTCCAGCAGCGGTTGCTGCAGAAGGTGACCACATTCGAAGGAGGAAACCTTGTTTGCATTGGTCCAGCGGTCGTTGTAGACGTTGTATTGCTTATTCTCCACGGCGAGGTGAATGCGGAGTTCTTCTTCGATGTCGCCAAATCAGTCCTGGTGTTCACAGCGTGGGCGACTGAGGGTGTCCAGGACGATGGAGTAGATAACGTTCTGAACTTGGCGTCATTGTGCCTCCACGGCAGCGTCGTCGTCCGGATCCTGTATTTCTCCCAGTCGTTGGGTGAGTGGATCGAAGAAATCGAAGCGGTGGGCGGGCAAATTCAACAGAACAGTATTTAACTTACTGGTGGTCGCTTGTCCTGTGGTCTCATGAGGGGGCGCAGTCGAAACCTCGCCTTGGAGCTAGCGAGGCGGTGATCCATCCAGCCTGCGGCGCCACAGATCATACTTGTCGCTAAGACGTCCTGTCGAGCTCGCCCCCGGGAGAGAGCACACTTCAACAGCTGCCACTGCCGCAATAGAGGGTGGGTCCAAACCGCGTTCTCCTGCATCGGGAGGCAGAGGAAGGTTCCGGTGGGGAGTAGGACGGGAAGAAGAAAGAGAAGGAGGAGAGGTAGATGAAAAAGGAGACGGTGTTCTGTGCAGGTTAGCAGAAATAAGATCCTGTTATCGTTGCAGTCGCCAATCCAATGTGAATCCCGCACTTCCATCCCAGGCAGTATGTTCTATCCTGTGGCAGAAATTTAATTCACCAATGACAAACAGCTTGTCCGCCTTCGGTACATTCATCAGGAGAGTGCACGAGCTCTTGTAGAACATGTTCTTCAACTTGCCAGAATTGGTTATTATGAAGGCGTAGGCGCTGACGGCGGCGACGAATCTGGCTCCGCGAAAAGGCAAACCCAGGGCCATGAGACGATTGTTGATGTCCGGCAAAAAATAGGGCTCCCGTCTTACAATATCGCTCCAGGTGACAAAGGTGATTCCACAGTCACGTCGCTCTGCTCTCGTGTGGCGGCTGCAGAAGAATGTGTAGTCGGAATCCACTTACTCCAGTTGACCTTACCCAGAGAATCGGGTCTTGTTAAGAGCTGAGATATCCACCACACAGCGCGCCAATTCCCTAACGACCAGGGCTGCCCTACGTCTTGGTCGGTTGCTCGGCTGGTTACCTGGGATAGAACGAACATTCCAGGCTGCCGGAGTGAGCAGAATCACACCACCACCCCGTGGGATAAGGCGGAAGGGTTGGGAGCGGGAGGTTTGTTTATTTTTTTGCTTGTTTCAGTCGTGAGTTGTACATCTGCGAGCCACAGTCTGCGCGCAGATGTGGTGATTTCAGATTTAGTTTAAGTCACACTATGTGGCCCATCCCCCAGGAGGAAGTAAGCTGTTCTGTCCCGAAATAGGGCGGCCTAAATATCCCAGACAGCTGCCGATCTCCACTATTGGGCACCTTTTGGTTTAGTAGGAGAGCGAATCGAGTTATCTTAGACCGCCTACGAGATTTCATGTCACCCTCTCTGTGGGACTTTTGGGAGTGAAGGGGAAGGGAGGGGGGTTGGGAATTAAAGCATAATTATCGGATATGGGGACGCACGCACCACGGGAACCTTTATCTGGTTTGGTCCGTATGGTCAAGGCGGTTACCGGGGTGTGTGTCTGCTAGGCTTAGCCTACCTTATCAGCCACAGATAAGCGTTGCCTGCCCGTAAAGGACCGTACGGAGCAGTCACCATTCGTATGGTACGACCTACCACCCATACACTGGTGCACCCCAAATGGACAACCCTTCAGCCCCTGCCCAATCACCGCAACCAGTCAGTACTAACTACGATGGTCGACTTAACTCCTGAGTTGGCAGCCTCCGAAGCTACGGTGACGTCTCATATGTAACTTTCGAATCCGTGGGTTTTTGCTTTTGTTTTAGTTTTTGACATCCCTTTAAACACGTTTTTGATGGCATCTCATAGTTGATGGATTCCTCTTTTTCAATTCACCAACCAGACTTGTTTTTTTGATTCTCCACGCAATGCCTTTAGACGTTTTCAATCATCGAACGACTAGCCACGCTCATCACGCCAAAGATTGGGCTTCACTACTCGAGAATGGGAAGGATAAGCATTCGATCAAGACTTAATTCAATTTCTGGAAGGTAGGAATTATAAGAAATACAGTCAAAAATCAATATTATTTGTGTAACTTAAAGTTAAATCTGCGATAATGGAACATTCATTCACAGGGGATGCCCTGAAAAACCATTTGTTGGGATAGACTTTCAGGTCGAAAGCACATGTAACGACATGTGTATTGATAGAATTCCATCGACCATATTGAACTCACAGAGAAAGAGCAAACAAGTCAAAAGAGCTTTGTTCCAGGCAATGTTGGGTTGCATATTTGGAGGAAGAATATACGGTAGGCGTGCTAACTCATGAAATGCTAACCGAAATTCTGAATGACGTTTTCGTCTCGAAAATATTACTCGGGTATGGTTTTCAAATTAATCCCCGTGCAGCATACGGCTGTAACAATTCAATTACCTCAGGACGCCGGCTTTTGAAAGTATATCCTTCCGGTCGAATGCAAAAACCACACTCTGTGAAAATGACTACTTAAGCAGCATGTATCTTTCTCACTGATTTTCGATGCCCCTGAAAATCCAAATATATTTCATGGAAAGAATGCATAAACATATCCCTTCTTTCACTCATTCGGTAGTAAACTACGTATTCTTCCAAGTTTATACTCAAAGGAAGAGTATTATTTGGTTTTCAAAAAACTTTTCCAAATCCCTAATAATTTTGAAGCCGACCTGTCGTTGCACCTACATTCAGGGTTTAAATTTCATGAGATAGCACGCATACGGTAGGCACTTGAGATCGTCAGCATAACTTAAAAAGTGAGGGTGTTAAACTGCAAACGAAATGGCATTAGCGAATCGTAGGCCTGGACAGGCTACATGAAACAAGGGCGAAAGCTCATTCTCTTCCACCTCAGCCGCCCACGAAGGATACTGAAGTTCCGGTGACAATATAGGATTCGGGAGAGAGGTGTCTTTGAGCGAACGGGGATTATCATCCGTCACATCATGCTTATGTGAATTCAAATAGACATCTGCGTTGGAGGGCGACATCGCGGGAATGGACAACTAGTACCTCCCTAAACGACTTTTCTACGGCTGCGTCGTTAAGGATGTTCACAGACGAGGCGAACGAAAATGAGACTACGTGGACAGTTTTTGGGCCTCCATCAAGGATCTACAAATCAACCCGTAGATCTGAGAGGACCTTGCCCAGAATCGACTGGCCTGAAGAAGACCTATGAAGACAGGAGCATCAATAAACGAAGTCAATGGGATCACTGCTGCCAAAGCCATAAGAACCACTCGTAAAGCGCGTCCGATGCACAAAGACAAAACCAAACGCCTTCGGACGTGTTTACGCTGCAAACGATCATTCCGCGCACGGAGCGGCCCCGTTGGACATCTCCGGACCCAGTTCAGCAGCATCCCCACATTTCCACATCCTAACTCCGCAGACGCCCCCTATCATCACTCCAGCGCCAAAGCCCATGGCGTCCACGACAACCATCACCATCGCCATCGATGATTACGCTGCTACTGTCCCGATGTTTCAGCTGACATCACCGGCGCCGAAAACATCTCTCATTCCTGTCTCAACATCCAAAGAGACAATTGCCACCTCAACAACCTCCATCACCGGCAAGAACACTCCTGTCGTACCCTCAACCTCTACCCTTATCATTACCACCACCCCTACGACCACGAGCAATGTGGGCTCGACGCCAGCCTGTTCCTATTGCGATCGTACACACATCACGTATAGTCCAACTGCGAATCTACCACACCGAGGTCAGCGCGCCAATGTCAGGAGCTCCGATATACACTTAGCTCATCCGCCTCCGCTATTCACACTGCCTAAGTACATTCATTTACCGCATGGGTCTATTCGCTCTCATTGGAATCCATGAAAACCTGTGGTAAAACACCACCGGAGAAACATCCTCGCCAAATATCTTCTTACCAGCACAAACACCACATACAAACACGTTCCTCATCAGCCAACACAAACGCAGAATCGGAATGTATCATGCAAGTAGGAACCTCGCTCCTTGGCCCCTTCCCCGTGTGGCATTTTGCTATTCTAACACTAGTGAGCTTAGAGCAGTCCTCTTTCACTGAGTGAGATACTGAATTGTGTGTGCGGCACGCGCAGGCAGGCTGCCTAGCTCTGTCGGTCACTGCGCTCTCTCCCACCTTCAGTTGACAGAGTAACTCAGACTATTGACTGTCGCAGGGAGAGGGAAGTGATAGTGGGGCCAGCGGTCTCAGTGCACATTCCTCACTATAAACAACCGAACGCGTTTGAAAATGCCACGATGAGCTAAAAGCCGTGGCTTTAAAGGTTGCCAGTTGACGATTAAACTTAGACCCTACGCTCGGTTCAGCGTGTGCTTTGTGTGGAGTGACTGACTGGTGGATTGGGAGTCAGGCTACGATGACTCTTTCTCAATGTGGCCTCTATGTCACTCTCACGCAAGTGAGATCAGAGCCGTCCGCTGCTTTCGGGTGAAATCTTGCTGTGTTGAGTGGGGGCCAGATCGTGTGTATGGCACGCGCAAGTGAGCTGTCTTTAGCTCCGTCGGCCACTGTGCCCAAACTCTGCATCGGCTTGCCAACCCGTTCGAACAATGGACCGGTGTCTGGGAGTGGAAAGAGAGAGGGAGACTGAGTGAGGTCGACTCTTGTCTCATTTCCCCCACTATGAACAGTCTGGCATGCACGAATCTACCTTGGTACGCTAAATGCCGGAGCTCAGAAGGCAACCGATGGGATAGCTCGGTCCTCCTCAGGACGGAGAATCAAATGGCAATAGCGCCTTCTTAATGAGGCCGCCATGGCACTCCTAATCATTTGGGTTCCGAACCGCATCCCCTTTTTCTTGTTGTGTGAAAGTTTGGTCGTCTCTATGCAGACCATTGGTTTGATGCCACGCTTTATGCAGGTTCACACATCATCAGCAATATTTACTATTCTGTACCGAATTTGGAAGACGTTGATCTTAGTCTATCATTTAACTGCATTTTCGAATTTTAACACCAAAAGTGAGGCTGAAAGTGAGAAATCTTATGTCGGGCACCAACCCAAATCGTATTGACTTCTGATGCGATTGTAAAATGTCGTCTTGTTGCAGTTAGACAGAACTCCGATTGTTCGGTTTGATTTTTATCCTTTATATAGTCTGCAGATAGTGGTGCACAACTTCCTGTTGGTTGCAAGTTGACCTAGCTGCGGCCTCGACCAACGCCAGATTTTCAGGCCCTGAACATGTATATCTTTCTCATCTACATTCTTTTTGTGTTATTACATAAGTGTGGGTTGTCTTTGTGGCATGCGTCTCCACATCATTCCGCTTTGGTGCTATCTCGCGTTAGCGCGCTCATGGCACTCTTCCTTTGTCAGGTAGGCGGCAACGATTCACCGGGAAATTAAAACCCTAGTTGACTGCTGTCATATCTCTGGGCAACGGTGGACCCCTCGGTTGCGTGATAGAGTGGCGATCGGGATCCGGACTTATTTGGAAGGGAAGATCGTGTCTTTGCTTTTTGGAGGACAAATGTCTGATTGTACCAGGTAGAGTTCAAATTCTTTTGCGCCATACCGGCAGCGACGGACTAAATAAGGACATTCGCAACTTTCTCTAACGCTCAGTTGACAAGGTGGGTGAAGCAGGTGGAAAATACCGTTAATAATTGGCCTGCTTCTAAATCAAACTGTTGAGGGCAAAGAGTAGTGAGGACCGTATCAACCACGACAGAAACCCTCTCATGACATCGGAGAGTAATTGCGTACATATACGCTAGTTCAAACGTTGAAAGTGGAGACGTTC